ACTAATGAATTGTTTTCCGTTATCGCTAATGACTTTTATCGGTGCACCGTATTTTAAAATGTATCTGTGTACGAATGCATCTGCGACTGTTTTGGCTGACGCGCGTTTAAGTGGAACAATTTCTGTCCATTTTGAAAAATGAAAAATGATCTACTATTACTAAAAGAAAACGATTTTTATTTAACTCGCTCTGGGGGAAGGGACCAAGAAGATCTATGCCTAAAATTTCATTCGGAAATGTAGCGCGAATGCTATTCAAGTATCCGGCCGGGCTGTAATTAATATCATTTATTAACTGACATTGATTGCAGGACCTGACATACGCCGTTACTATTTTGTATAATTGCGGGAAATATACCGCCTCGCGTACTCTTTTTAAAGTCTTTCTGACCCTAAATGACCCGCTGTTTTCGCGTCGTGTAATTCCTTTCAAAATGCTTAATCGAAGCGAGGCTGGGATGACTGGTTTGTACTCAAGATTTTCGTTTGTTGTTTTCGTATAAATAATAAATTATCTATTATTTCATAGTTTTTCTGCTCTATTTCTTATCGCATCGATATGTGTGTGCTCAAAGCTTCGGGGTCTTTCAAATATGCATAGATATTTCCAAATTCAGGATCAGTTTCAGTTCAGTGATAATCGTATCTCTAGAATCTAAAATTTTTGAAGTTAACACAGCGCATTTAAGTTCATTTCCTTCATCGTCCAGTTTTTTATACGAGAAAGTGCGTCAGCTACATTGTTTTTCCTTACCCGGTTTATATTTTAATATGAGATTATATTCTTGGGAGTTTTAAAGCCCATCTTATTAACCTGGGCGTTAGGTTTTTTTCCCGAGTAAAGTCTACCAACAGCCGCATGATCCGAAAAGACTGTTACTGGCGCTTTGCCGAAATAACTCGAAGTTTGTGTACAGCCATTAATACGGCTAATGTTTCTCTTTCTGTAGCTGTGTAATTCCTTTGTGTCTGATTCAACGTTTTACTAAAAAAATGCCAGAGGATGGCTATTTTGCATAAGAACCGCACCCACCGCATAGTCTGACGCATCTGCTGCAATTTCCAGGTTTTCGTCCCCCTCCGGGAATTTTAAAACAGGGGCATTGATGAGCGCTTCTTTTAATCTTTCAAAAGCTGTATTTGCTTCCGCTGTCCACGTAAATTTACCTCTCTTTCTATTGATTACTAAGAGTGGTTCAACAATATTAGCGAAATCTTTTATGAAAGACCGATAGTAAGAACATAACCCAAGGAAAGAAGAAAGTTTCTTGGCGGTGTTGGGCGGTGGAAAATTCTTGATGGCTTTTATTTTTGAATCTTGCGTTTCTATACCCTTTTGCGAAATTTTATAACCGAGATATTTAAGTTCTTTAGTTGCGAACTTGCATTTTGAGGCGTTAATTGTAAGACCGGCCTCTTTTAATAATTTAAAAACTTGTTCTACATCATTAATGTGTTGTTCCAACGTACTACTCGTTATAATTATATCATCTAGATATATTAAAGTTGATTTTCCTAGGACAGGCTGTAGAACATTGTCTATAGCTCTCTGGAATGTTGATGGGGCCCCACACAACCCAAAGGGCATGCGTAAAAATGCATAAGTGCCCGATTTTGTTATAAACGCGGTTTTATGTACGTCTTCGGGTCTCATAGCTATTTGATAGTAGCCAGACGTTAAGTCCAAAGTAGACATGTATCTTGTCGATTTGATCTGTCTAATAATTTCCTCTATAACCGGCAAAGGGTAAACTGGAAATTTAGTAATACTATTTAGTTTTCTGTAATCGATAGCAAAACTCCCAGCCCTTTTATCCGAAGGAGGAAACTCGTTCTTTTTCCTACATAGTACGACTGGACTCGCGTACTCACTATTTATGGGCGTTATTATTTTATTCTTTAACATCTCCTGAATATGTTCTTCGATGATTACGTCTTTTGTTTGTCGTACCGATAAGGTTTAGTCCTACAAGGTTTTTTCGGCAGTTAATTGTATCTTATGCGTACTATTTGACAATTTCCCGGCTTTTCTGAAAACAAGTTAGAAAAATTACTCACCACTTGCTGTATTGCTTGCCTTTCATGGTCATTCAGATGGCTAAGGTCCACTTGCGGTTTCTCCACAGATTCCACCACCCCTCTGGTCCATCTCCAGCACCACGGAACTGTCTTGAAAATTCAATTTGGCCCTCGCGGCCCTTAAAAACTCCATACCTAAAATAAGAGGATTTTGCAGATTCTTCAATACAAAAATTAATACTTTGAGGCTTTCCTCTTTTACCTGTATGTTTTAATGATAATTTCCCGATGCAGTGACATGTTTTTCCTTGCGCCGCTATAATTTCCGTATTTTGGTTTTAAATAATCGTACCCTATAAAAATTCTTTTTTTGAAGAAATTTTCACTCATAAAATTTCCTTCTGCTCCTGTATCGATGAGGGCTTCTACTGGTACATCGCCAACCAGGACTTGTATAATTGGTAGATGTGAGTTTTTTTACGATGACCGTATTTAAATGTCTTTTTGAGGGTTTTTTTTAAAACTTCCGGGGTCTGGACCCTCCCTTTCACAGGCCCCTCTACTCGTTTACAGCTTTCCTTTCAATCTGTGCCTTCTGGGTACCCGGATGTTTATTTTCAAATTTTCTTTTTGGGCCTTGACATTCGAGTTTCGATGAGTTAGCTTGATAGCTCTTTCCCCCATAAGAGCGATTTCCATTTCTGGTTTCCTCATTTGAAGATTTCCTTCGGGTACTTTGAGAATACGTTGCCCCTCTAGCTTTTTCCGCTATTCTGCGATTTTGAAACTTCACCGCCAATTCGAAGATGTGCTTGGGTTTCTAATTTCGAAGTAGTCTTGAACAGCGGGTAACAATCTTGGTAAGATTATTTCAATAATCTCCGCATCGGGTTTCTTCCCATACAGCATATCCGTCAGCTTAATTTTTCGTAGAATAAAGTCCGTCAAATATTCTGTATCCCGTTGATAGAAACTATATAGTTCGGCTTCCAGCCTTGCTCGATCTTTCACTATGGGGAAGGCCTTTACTAACGATTTTTTGAAATTTTCAAATGTATATGTCTGGCTTCCAAATTCCCCTAATAAAAATTTGCCTATATTTTTCCACCATATCGCGGCCTGTCCTCTTAGTGCGGATGTGGCGATGGCAACTTTTTGTCTTTCAGGCACAGGGGTAGAGCTGAAAGTGATTTTCTAGGCCTTCTAGAAATATCGCCACCGAATTTTTTCCGTCGAAATTGACGTTTGGCTTGATTGACGCTCTCAAAGTCTGGACCAGGTATCCAAATCCTTCCAATTGGCTTGCTATTTCTTGGTGTTGTCCAGCGGCTTCCATCCGATTTTCGGCCATTTCAGTTCGATAAGTGTTCGGGCGCCAATGTAGCGTTGCGCGCCTCCAACTTGCACGCAAACAAGAGGTGACTGTTGAAACTGGATAAAAGACAGAGTCTTGTTAAGGGTTTAAGTCCCTTTTTATTCAACGTAATAAATTACAAGTGCGTGCTCTTGACGCTCACAAACTACGCCAACTCGGCGGTAAAATAAAAATAATAACCTGAAAAGAAACTAAAGACAAGACTCTAACTACGAGGCTCTCTAAAAAGTAACTAACCTCACCGCGTTTTACAATACCGCTGCTAATTCAGCAAACTTGAAGATCACGTTGAACGATTAACAATACTTCCAGGCAAGCACCCAGGCCGAAACGCGGGGTTCTTCAATTTCTGGCTAACTACCTCCGCGCTCGTGAAGTAAGAACAGCACACCTCGAACTCGTTTCCTTTCTATTTAACTCAGGATACTTCCGCTGATAATTTGAATCCTTGCGCGTTCTACTAAAATTTACATACTCTGGCATTGGCAGTTCCAGGAGAAAGTAAGGCTTGACAGGAAAGGTAGTTTAAACTTAAAATAAATGTTAGTTAAAATAAATATCAACCCTACAACGTGTTTACTTATTAATGAAGTACACATATAAAGATATTGAATATTGAACTTCGAATATTTAACTGATAAATTTGCCGGATTTAATTTTCCTTAGATTTCTACTGCTAATTTGTTTTTGGGTACTGCCCCCTAAGTATCTACAGATGCAATTTTTCTTTTTAAAATGTTCATCTTAATGCTTATTTTGAAAATTATTCCAGATCCGTAGAATTTTGTTTCGCTTTTTAATTTCTAATAAAAAATTAAATAAATTTTTTATTTAAAATTAATTAAAAATTTAATAAATTTTTTATTAGAAATTAATAATAAAAAATTAATAAAAAAGTAAATTAAATTTTTTATTAGAAATTAATGTATCTGATGCAGTGATAACTGTGTGAAAAGACTAATGAGTTGAATATTTGAATAATTTGTATTTACTGGTTTTATGGAGATATTTTTCATTGTATTATCTCTTTCTTCGAGTTATGTGTGCATTATTTTAAATTTCAATGAAGGTATTTTATAGCTGTAATCCTTTTATAATTGTATACATGTATTTTTCTTACTTTTAGTACAAATAATTGGTTTAAATAATAATAAACAGTTATATTTTGCAATACTGTATGAGTTAAATATTGCTAGAAAGAAAATTCAAATTATTAACATGCGTTTCAGGTATTTAACATGAGTTTCAGCTTCAACTAAATATTTGTCTTCAGAATAGAGTAGCAGCAACGACTGGATCTATTTTTTTAAAGCAAAGCGATTCATCTTGAACAGATTCTGTAAATTCCATAAGATATGGAATTTATGAGATATCCTTTACCTTTTTGAATAGTAGAGGAAATTATCGATTTTAAAAATGTTAACAGGTAAACAGGGCAATAACAAACCCTTTTTTCCTTTGTATGACTTCGTATATTAAATTACTGGTTCCATTACAAAACCAACAAATCCAGTGCTTAAAATGTACAATATTCCAGTTTTTGTGAGTTAAATTTCTATCCTGCTAATCATGATACCTAAATAAAGATACAATAAAGACAATACTCTGCAGATAACAATGTGCGCACTTTATTACATATTGAAATTTTCAATAATTACATGCAATTCGTAAATAAATTATACTAAAAAAAGATGAAAATCTATTTGATGTTTATATATACACACGCACCTTTCTCACTATATGGTACCTTTTTAAATAAGATATGGGAAGAAATGGGAAATAAGGAGAGAGTATATTTTCTTAATTTTTTTCCTAAAGGGCGGTAAATGTTACTTGTCTTCTTCTGCATCTTCTTAAGCGCAATTTTTAGGAAAAAGTTATAAAATAAATAGCAGCAAAATAATAGAGCATTTCGAATACTTTCAGTAGCTTTTATGAATCTACAAGAAGAGGCAGATTTTAAATCAAATCTGCTTGATTTTCTAAATAATGCAAATCACGATTTTTATCATTTGGCAGATTGAAATATATTGCTATCAAAGTCACAAAATACTTGTTTTCTGCGTGGGTATCTGAAGGAGTAACGTGTACACTGCCAAGAATAATCTTTGAATAAATTTACCCAAGCCGCTCTCTTACAGAGGGATATTTAACCTATTTCATGTAATTATGTAATGGAAATTTTGTCCTAAAACCAAAAGATTGAATATTTATGAAAACTACTGTATTCCACTTCTTCCTTGTCGATTTGCCACGTCAAATGGCATCTTGAAGTCCATGATATCGTCGAATTGACATAAACAGGTTTTTCCTATGAATGAATGGCTGAATTCATGCCACCTAAATCTCATGCTTGAGAATGTCGTTTCAGTCCATACAATTTAAATAAGTTTGATGCTTAACCCCTCCTGAAATAAACATGATGTCCATCTCCTACATCTTCATATCCGGTATAGTAACCCTTGTCGGCTTGGTGACCATGATATCTTCTGTCATCATCGTATCCTGCTGCCTTTTTATGACCTCCATATCCTCTGTGACCATGCGCTGCTTCTAGGTGAGCTTTGTGTTGATGCCCTACGTCGAGCTGACCATTGTGGTAGACTTTCTTGCCGCGAGAATGATGTCCCTGAGCATGGGCTTCGCTTTGTTGCTTGCCTCCAGCTTGTTTGAAGCCATCTCCAACAGCGTGGTGGTGTCCGCCTTTCTTGTGTCCTGCTTCATGGTGACTTTCATGTCCGGCTTTTCCGAATTTGTGGAAATCGTGACCGTGTTTGTTTTCATCGTAATGTCCTTTGTTGGCGTGTTGTTTGAAGTGTTTGCCTCCATGGTGACTGTAGTCTTGGTGCTCATCGTGGTATTTCTTCTTGTGGTCAGTTTCCCTGTGTTCGTCATGGAAGGTCTTGTGTTCACCAAACTCTTCTGCAATAAGAAAAATAAAACAGATTTAAATCTATCTCATATTATATTTTTCGAGGGACGATAAACATCAAATAATTTACATTGCTAGGAAAAATTGTCTTCGTAATCATTTCGTTTCTAAATTTACATTTACAAGAAATACATTTATAAAAGTGCAATTAGTGAGGTCTTTTTGAATTAAGTATACATATTAGCTTATAGACATTTGTTTAATAAAAGACACAATTTAAAGGAAAAAAATAAAGAGCTTGAGCAGTGTTAATCCTAATAAAGTATTGCTATTTATATTATATTGTATACTAGGATATTTAACCGATAATTTTATTTACTTAGCTTTTTGAAAAGTTTTGAGCAGCATAATAAAGAAACAAATATCAGTTTAAAAGCATTCAAACACAAGTAATACCTCTTTTAGCTTTGAATAACTTTATGCTACTGATTGGTAATACTCATAGGCAATAGTATCATTTAGTGACAGACGTTCGGTACGGTATAAATTACTGGTCTGTTCGAATCAATTTGAATTACGTTCTCCAAATTTAGATTGAAACTTAGATTCAATAGATTATGAGAAAGTATGCAAATGCTTTCTACCTTCCAAATTTAGATGATCACACTTTAAAACAAATATTTCTTACCCTTGTGATATACGTTCTTGAATCCATGGCTTTTGTGTCCTTTGTCCTTGATAAATTCACTGCCGACCTTGCCTCCTGCTTGACCATGACCTCCATGCTTGGTTACTTCTTCTTGTCCTTTCACATGCTGGTTTTTTTCTAATTTGCCTTTATGATCGCTTCCGTGCTTGTCGAAAACTTCGCCTTCTTTCTTGAAGGATTTGGAAGCTCCTTGGTCATTATGATGTTCATACACTTCGTGTCCTTCCTTATCGTGTTTTCCATGGGCTGCGTGTTCATCTTTAAATTTTTTGAAGCCACCTATATATGAAGATGGAAATTCGAAGTATTGATAAAGTAATTTCAGTTACATTTTACGCGTCAAATTAAGAAAATGCAGGATGTAGCAAAAGAATATAATCAAATTCAACTTGTTATAAAATCTGTAATATAAACTAGCTTAATACAAAGCTTTCATTTAAAGATGAAATTTTTAATTTAAAATTACAAAACTCATTTAGTATAAGCACCTCCTGTCACCCCGGTATCCTTAGCATTGTTATCAAGTTCTATACATATTCATGCTAGAATGAGAGTGTTAACATTAATGATTACTTCACAAGTTCTCTTTAAGTAATTAATATCTGCGGCATTTATGGTCTGAACAATCTCCTTGATAAATCCACAAAAAGAATTACTGATAGTTAGATCAGGCGAGCTCCTGAATTGTTGTCTTATAAACTTTTCGTACTCTGCGCAAAGTTTTGGTAAAAGATTTTTAATGAAAATGAAACTTTATTTTATTGAAAAGTTTGCCTGGCTGGATTAAATATTGAATTTATCTATCTATATATAGAAGGAAGAGTCTGTCTGTGTGTGTCTTTCGTTCGTGCTGCGCGTAAGCTAATAGACCCAGGGCTACGAAATTTGGTACATAGGTACATCTAGACAAAAGCCAATGCATCTCGAAGCGAGTTTTTCAAAATTCAAATGAGATATTTTTATTTTATGTTTTTTGATGAAATCGTATCAAATCGGTAATTCTCTCATTATATCAGCAACAATGGCACGCAGCCATTGTTGCTGATACATCGCTGTTGCCATTGTTGCTGATATATCACTGTTGCCATTGTTGCTGATATCAGTACTGTCGCTACTCGGAAAAATGAGGGCGATAATTCTGTGCAGTTTTTAAATTTAATGTTCCTCTTGGATACTGGACGTTTATCGAGAGAAGGTGACGGGAAGTTTGTTAATTTATTTATTAGGATAATTAATATTTATATAAGGGATATGGCTTATTTCATCGTAATTATTTTATATGTAATACATTTTTATTGAAGTTTTTTTAATATATATAAAATTGTTCTGCAGAGTAAAATTCTGTGCTGTTTTTAAATTTAATGTTTGGTGTTCGTTTTTTTGCATTTTCCCGGTACATTTAAAATCCAGACAAAGGCTGGTCGCGTAGGGGCTAGTTTTAAATATATTAAAAGTGGACAATTAGTTTAATTTATTGTATAAATGTAATGCCAAAAATTTGCGAAATAAATCGAGAAAGTTAAACTAATTTCAGCAAATTATTAAATGATTAACTAAATGCATACCATAGAGTATTATGTTTCAAGTGTAAGTGATTCGCATTTACTTTGCGAATGTTTCGCATATAACTCTTGAAAAACAAGGAAAATTACGAATGCTCCTCATAATAATATTTCTCAAGGAAACATTTACAACCATACTATACTGATTCGTTTTATTCACGAATGGAAAAAGCCATATATGTACATAAGACAAATCCTTATGTAAAACTATCTAATTTTTGTTATTTGAGGAATCAGAATTACCGAACAATTGACATACTTTTGGAAACTGAAAATTTTCATAACATACGCTACTTGACTTTCTCAGCAACTAATATTTCGATACAGAAGCTAAATTCCTACCGTCCACTCATAATTTAAGACTTCAGGCTGCGCTTCTTAAAAGAAGTTCAAAAAGATGGCAATACTTTGATAACTTTTTGATTGTACTCTCTAATTCTATGATTATAGTTTGCATTGTATTATATATATATATATATATATATATATATTGCACAAAACGCTTATTAACTCTACATTAAAATATATTGTACATACCTTGTTCGTGGTGTTCATCGTAACTGTGAACTCCACCAGCTTTGTGTGCTTTCTCGTGTCCTGCTTTGCCTTCATAACCTTCTTCTTCACCGTAATGCTCTTCATAATCTCTGTCTCTACCACCTACATACCTTCCTAAGTGAGCTCCACCTTCAGGGACCAAATCTTGATCTTCAGCTTCTTCTAAATCATCTTCATATTCTTCAACCTTTTCTTCCACTTCTTTTGCTTTTACTGGACCAGCGCTGACGTAGGCAAGTAGCACCAAGAAACCTACCACAATCTGAAAGCATATTTTATTTTTGAATAAGCAAAATTTTTTAAGCTTTATAAACACGTTATTTCAGAAGCTATTGTTATGTCTGTTAAAGGTATCTGAATTTGTAACATAAGTAATTAATTTTATTTGAAGCTCTTTGGACTGAATATTAATGCACTGAAAATAAATTTCACTAATTAACTTCCACTTTCTTAGCTCAAATTCCCATTTGACCAACTTTTTCTCAATAAGGATGAATTAGGGTTTTGAAAGAATACGAGTCTGCAGTTGTTTCTACGGATGATCCTGAAGTGGAAATTTGAGTATAATAAAGAGAGTTCATCTTCAAATAAAACAGCAGTAGAATTTTTTTTTTTGCATTGTTATCATCTTTCTTGAACTTGAATTCCCTAAATTAATTTATTTTCATTATTTTTATTTAATAACTTTTGGAATTTCGACAATATTCACCAGTGAAAGTTTTAAATAAGAGGAAATAATTACGCTCAAAACAACTGAAATTTTGAGTAAGGGCTATGAAACAGTTAAACTTTAACCCTTCTTCATTCACTCTTACCAACATTTTTTCATAGTCCTGTTTCTAAAAATATACAGTTTAAATCATGTAACCAATTTTGTTTATCAGTTTTGTTAAATTTTGTCCAAGATCATTATATTTGAATAATGAAGTTGATTTGAAGCATTAGTAGTCATGGAAGAAACATTAATGGCAAGAACTGAACCTTGAAGTAAACAGAAGTTTAGGAAGATGATTATAGAGACAGAAAACAAACGTTTTGTTAAGTGATGCGGAACGGAATCGATATCTACAAAATATTTGTAAAACGATAAGTGGCTTCTGCGTAAAAATCGCATTTACGACCAGTAATGTGCTGTGTCTGCGTGCTCTAAAACTGCGTCTTTAGATACAGGAGATCGGGCTTATTTGCTTCGACTTCCTTCTTCCTTAATTTTTGAACATTAGGATGAACAGGAAGTAATGATAATTTATTTTATTGTAATCGCATACCTTACGTGCATCATAACCACTTCCGACTAGTAATGGTGTATAACCGAAAAATTAGCTATAACAATAAAAACACTTCCTCTTGTCCTTCTAATGCTTAATCAGTTTCATTCAAAATGTACCAAAATAATTCCCTGTGAAATGGTTTTATAGAAGTTCTAGATTTGCATTTTATTATGTTGTTATGAAACGTTAAAATGCAATGAAAAGCTTTTGTAAAATGTTTTAGAAAGAAAGTTATTTCTTTAAATGAGTTCTTTTGCTGATTACTAGCCTATATTCCGATTTTTGTGAGTAATTTGCGGGAACTTATGGTGGACGTTTATTGTGATCGCATGTGACTGAATTGAACGGGCTTCACTTACATGATCTCGAGCCTAACAGAGGAAGAAAAGCCCTTAATGAGATGCCCATGCTACAAGACGGGAAGTTTAAATGAATTATTGAGCCATTTTTCATATCTGTTACTGCTTACAGAGATTAGAAATGGTTGTTTTAAAATTATAGCTAAAAGTAATATTTATTTATAATGCGTAACTGTACGGGAAACTCCCAATTTATTGTTTGATTCTAGGGTTGATATCCGTGGGTACGCAAAATCATGGTTATTCTGAGGACCGATGGGGGGGGGGGCGGCGTAGAAAAAGAGTAACCGATATTATAATTAACTTAAAAAAAATAAGTTGAACACTTTACTTGTCTTTTCAAGTAATTTGATTTGGAAAATAATTTCATTTAATTATGCAGATTAAACCAGCGTTAAAAATAAAAAGAACATACTGTTTGAATGTTTATTAGCTATTGGCATATTTTAAAAGAAAGTGTATAAAATAGATGTTTATTAAGATAAATAAATTCGAATGTATTATAGAAAATTAAAATTATTACGTTGTTTTTATGTTACTTTCGATAAATAAACGCAGTTGCAAATCTGCTATATTTTTGCTTGCGTTTTAAAGAGTGATTTGGAAGAATTTTCTTAATTATTATTTTATTCATAAGAATTAAAAGTTTCTGGGCTAACGATTTTATTAGACTGCTAAAATTTTGATGCATATGATGTAAACATATACATGTTATATTATTTTAATGATAATATAACATGTAAAGAAAAAGAAAAAAAAGAAAGTAAAGTAAAGCTTGTAAAGAAAGCAGATTTTTGTAACTCAAAGGAACTAAACATAGATGGAAAAAATGATACAATTTCATTTTTGAATCAAACCATTAGCATTTAATTTTGAAATTCTATACTCAGAATTTGATTTTGAAGCAGCAATTGCTAACTTGCTTGAAAACCTTTGAAATGTCTCTAAGATTATGATTTTACTTGTTTGCAAGTGGGCATATGCTTTTAAAAGCATATATATTATGGCTTATCTGACAAATTTTTATGCTACTTTGTGTCTTCACAATACTCTGGCCTAAGTTTTTAGCCACTGCACTAAATGCTGTAGCATATAAGATGATATTAAACAATACCATAGGAAGCTTTAGATATAAATTAATAAACAGAATGCCATATATTAAAAATGAAGTCACAGACATAGGTTTTAATATACAGAAATCTTCCCAAAGTGTGCCTGTTTTCATAAATACAATACATTAAACTAAATTTTGAAGGCTATGTTTATTATCTATGAGTTTATTTCTTCAATCTGTATATTACTTTTCTGCTTTTGTATATATTTTGCAGTTCTGCACCTCTTCTAATAAACATTACTAAATTAATAAAAATAAAAATTTCAGTTATCAATTAAAATTTCAATTCACGTTTATGGATGTTTATGAAAATTACTAGCAAGGATTCATTAACTATTAATTATCATTCAGTCATTCTGATGATTTCCGTTTTCTTGTAAACGCATTTTATGTGAACTAATTGCTAATGATAATTATTAAGCAAAGGAAATGTAAATAATTAGTTAATTAATTCTTTTTTCCCCTTTGTACAGAAATAGAGGCTTAAATGTATAAAAATATGTTATAAAAATATGTAATTATTAATAAATAAATATAAAAATATTTAGTTATTAAATATGTTAATAAAATTTCTTCTGTTAAAATAGGTAAAGATTTTTTTCCTTCAACTGGTTGCTAATCAACTAATCAAGAGATAATTTAAAATCCTCCCACGAATTTTTTTTAACTATGATTATTTACCAAAATTTACCACGAAATTTATCACCATCGATTAACTAGTAGGTAATGAATTATTTTCAGAATAATAACTAGTGATTAATTAATATATTATACACCAACTGTGAATCACCTAAAATCTGTCCGTTTTTTGCGTAAGAAACAAATGTGTTATATTAAATTACCACCTTCCTTAGTAATAAATCTGAATCTGCGCACATCTCTGATCTTTGGTAATGAATCTGAATTGGCATTGTAAAAGCTATTCATAATTTATTTACTAGTTTTTTATGTAGATTGTAGTCATTGTATAAATATTAGAAAACAAAGAAAGAATTCCCACAGGAAAGTGATTTTGATTCTAAAACCGACAGTGGGCAAGGAAGAGCTAATGCATTACTAAGCAGAGAAGAAATGTTATATGTGGACTTCACTGTAATTTTTTTGTAGAGTCTTTTATACTTTTTCGATTCAAGAAACTGAAAAAATTTAGCAGTGTCCTCGCTGGGATTTGAACTCCGAATTGCTCGATTTACGCATCTGGCGTTCTTTCAGTTATACCACGAAGGTTCGTGGAAAGGAGAGAGAAAGTACCTTATATACCCCCTTTTTTAAAGGAAGACTCAAGGTAAAGGGACCCATTCCCCAAATCTTGGTGGCGACGAATTATTGCCCACCACCTTTTAGTTCGGCCGTCATTTGTAGAGTCATTTAGAAGTTTTTCGAAGTCAGGAAACTGAACAAATCCGCAATGTTTTGGCCAGGATTCGAACTTCAGACCGGATGTCCTTTCAGGTACACCACGAAGGCACGCGGAAGGAAGGGAGAAAATACCTTATATGTCTTATAAAGAAGCCGAAAAACAGAATTCTAATCAAATGTTACTGGATATTTTCTAGAATTTGTAATTAAGAATAAATAAGAAGCAATCTTACTTCTACTTTTATAAGGATGAATTCTGTTCCTAATAAAAATAGTCTTCACATAAATAGACACTTTTAATCAGTTAACACATATAATGTTAAAAATTCAGTGATTTTTGTATAACTGCATTTTTTCTGTCCTACATACATTAGTCAAGTTTGAATACAAATTTATTGAAACGAAAATCGGACTTCCTTTTCGAAGTTATTCAAAGAAAGCTACCATTGGATTGTTATTTTACTTGCTCATATGGTTGTATATTAGTTATATAAAATGTAAATTTTATCTCATAACAAATTTCCGTTTCTGAAAATGAATAAGTTCTCTCTGTATTAAGTGTCGAAAGCAAACAGTAATAGATTAGGAAAATTAGGTTAGTTTATAAATATCAAAACTGAAAGTATGCATTTGGAGAAAGGAAGAAATCGTTTTTTTTTTCGGAATATTTTTTCTTAAAGAACTACAATGGCCAATACTTTTGTACAAATAAAATATTATTTGATGCAGGGATTTTCTATTACATTCCAATCTACCCACTATGTGTTGGAAAATTAGTCAGCCTAAACCATTATCTTTTTGATGCAATAACAGTCCTAAGCCAATCATTAGTAGTAGACATCTCTTGTAAAATTCCTTGTTAGTTTAAACAATTTTGTTTACATTCATTTTTTGAAGATTTCAGCCAACACGTTTTTTCAGCCAACAACATTATTTCAGAGCTAATAAATATCAAATATGAAGATGTAAGGATCGTTTATAACCCTTCTTTTGTTGCGTTTACTAAAACGCTAAAATTTATGCTAGAATATTTAATTTTCCTTTAGAAATGTAAGCACGTACTTTAACGGATTATTTATTTTCGATTGTGATAACTGGACTCTGGAAATTGCTGCCGTAAAATTTCAGACTTCATTAATAAAATAATTTGCCTTTAATAAATAATTCATTTATTAAAGGCAAATGAGGTTCATCTAAATGGATTTTTAATGATAACCTTAATAAAAAATAAATTTTGAAACTTATTTACTCCTCTTCCCTGTGTGCATATGTGAATGAGTAAAAAAGGTGTTATAATGTTTTGGCTTTAAAACTCGTGGTTAATATTCTGGTTCGCAGTTTATTATTTTTAATCCCGAATTTTTATTATTTCTTATTGGTAATTTTTATTTTTAGTTGATTAAATTTAATTGTCTTAAGACAATTTAATTCCTCCTTAAGTAATCAGTTATATCCACCCTCCAAAAAACCTGAGCTTATTTCTTAGTAACTGTCCTTTCCTCAAAATTAATTTTAAATGAAATTAAGGAAATAATAAAAGCTTTTATATAGATCTTATGTAATATTCTATTTCTTCAAAATATTGACTTCCTTTTAATTTGCATATATTTTGTTCGCCGCAATATTTATGCACACAAAACTTTCGTAAATCCCTATTTTTAATACGTGTGATTATGGCAAAGCCTCGAGGTCTATCTGCCTAAGGGGAGAGGGATGCCTTCGTGGAGGATTTTCTAAGGGAAACTGGCTCGATACGCGTTACACATGGGAAAAACCACGAAAACGCCCATGCAGCCAGCCCGTTCGCAGGATTCGAACCTCGGACCGAACAACCAGTGTTCAGCGACTTTACCGCTCGGCCGCTGGTGAGCCTCTATTCTTAGTACGAAACTATTAAATGAGATTCACAGAAGCTCAGGTCATAGTTTCTTGAATCTTTTTCTATTATTTGGAAAAAATGAAAGCAACTTTCTTCACATACTTACTTCTAACTTGTTGCATATTTTCCACTACTGCTCTAAACTACGAATAATTGATTTTGCTGAAACTTATGAAATTTTTTTTAATATATGCGGAAATAAGATAAACAGACAAACTAATTCCAGACTCACAACCAATTAATTATGGAATTATAATTATTTGACATTTATAAACCTACGTGAAATATAAGTATACTGATAAAACGGTTTTATTTAACTTATGATAAACATATTTAAGATAAATTATGCCTCTGTTCAGTTTCATCTCACACTGCTTTACAAATAAATATATATAATGTATTTCACTTGTATATATTTATATTTTGTAACAGAAAAAAGGCATGATATAAAAGTATAAAGTAAATTAAAAGCAAGATGACATGAAAATTTCTTTAAAACATAAATAATAAGGAAAGCGAAACAATATTCTTCTGTTTATTGTTTTAAAATTTTCACCTTACGGGATATTTGAAACATTACGGTAGCTTTTTTTCTGTTAAAGAATGAAAATTAATGTTTATAATGTTAATGTTAAATAATTGTCATTAATGTTTTATTGCAGTTCGTTGCAGCCATCTTATCTACAATGACTTATTGCAATCTGATGTAAATTCTTCCAAGATTAAAACTGAATGGAAGAAACACAAAATAATTGTTCAGAAATATTTGAATATTTTATGAAATAATACCAAAAAAAAAGAAAAGTTACTAAAAACGTTTTACTGAATCTATTTTATCTCGATAATTTAATTTTTGTTTTCAAGCTGCGTATTCCATTATACTTACGACTAAAATTTAACATGCTTATCTTAAATCTGATATTAAAGGCCAAGGTAAAAGCAAAAATTATGAGTAAAAAAAAAAGAAGGAAATATTCTTTGAAAAAAAAAATATTCTGAATTTTTCCAAAACTGCATTAGCGGAATGCGTATTCACAAGCGGTAGTTTTTTAATTTTTACATTTCGAGAGTAACAATTTTTCATCTTTCAATGCTACTTATTTCTTATCCACATTTCTGTGCATTTTCCCTATCCACTAGTAAAACAAACCATCATATAAATTGGAGAAAATTCTTCATACTCACCAATATCCTTTTTGCCATGTTGCCTGAAGACAAGATGACTTTTCCCCGTTGAAAAAAATCACAAGGTGAAAAATATATGGTTTAAGTTTCAGAACGATCTATCCTAACAAGTCCTATGAAACACGCTTTTCAGATAAAAAAAGTATACAATATCTTGAATTACGTCCACCTGGAGCTGCGGTTAAAGAAGTGTTGTTGGTCTGTAGAAGTGTGAATAGTGGTAAGACCGGTGCAGAACACGCTTAAATAACTGACCCAGTCTTCCGTAAATCTGACGTAAATTCGAGAAAATGGTCACGTGATCTTGTGCCGAAGGTAATGTGATTCGAGTCAATGTGTTCCGAATACCTACTTCAAATAAGTAGTAAAAACTAATAACATAATAAATAGAACATAGGGATAATCCGAATTGACATCAACGGAAATGGGGGTCGTCGGCTTTAAATCTCTCCACTAGAGTAAACAAAGAATGTGTACCTGCCATTTGGAGTCAGCAAGGTGAAGTTGAAAATGCGAATAGCTATTTCTATACTTTCATATCAGAGGTTTCAATTTTTGAATATTAGGCAGCTGTTGGAAGAAGATTACAATATCCAGATAATTTCATTTCTCAAAAATAATACTTTGTTCAGAAATTGTTACTAAGAGCTAAATTATATTCAAGAATTCTGAATTTTATTTATTACACGTGAATTAAAATTCAATCTTAATTCTAATGATTTTTGTAAAGATTTCGATATTTTTGTCTTACTTTTCTTCAGAACGGCTGATTGGCCTTGGTATTTAAAAAACGGATTGACTTTGAATTCAGAAAGTAATTAATAGTAATTATTAAATTAAATTAAGGTCTAATTCATCATTCATATTCTTTTTCATTGTCATGTTAGCTCGCAATGCCCGGCAATACGTAATATACCTTCGAGAATGCACAGGTATCAGCCTTGTTTCAACTTATGCCTGTAGGCCTTAGCTTTCTTAATGAATCTATCCTATTTCATCTTATTCCCAGCCAGGATTTTGCAGCTTTTAATATTTAAATATAAAAGTCTGTATTAGCATAATCAGTACATCATAAATTGTTTCCTATTTGGCTGATTCCAGGCTCACAACCAATTAATTATGGAATTATAATTATTCGACATTTATAAACCTACCTGAAATATAAGTATACTGATAAAACGGTTTTATTTAACTTATGATAAACATATTTAAGATAAATTTAATGATACTGAATCTAGTGAATCAGTGTTAATTACAAATTTTAAAATTTTTTTATTTATTTAATAAAAATTACTTATAAAGAAATTTAATTGAGCTGTTCTTTTGTCAACTAATTAAGAATCTGTGGAGTTTTAATGTTTATAAAACTTAAGTACTTCTTTAAAGAAATAAAGTTATATATATATATATAAACTTTGAAAAAAGCATTTCGGAAAATTCGTTTTTTTTTCATTCAGTTTTATTACAATAGAATTTATTACTCCTATAAATGTAAAACAAAAGTCTGTGCAATATGGAGAATTAAGATACTTGAAATTAAATTTTTCTCTCATTTAATAATGAATACACTATTTTAAACTAGTACAAGAGTTAACCAAATTATAAAACTAAGTGCTACTCTTTAATACACAGATTATTCATTTAATAAGAAATAAGATTGAAAAGCGCTTTATCAGTGTACTCCAAACTTCACTTCTCGATTAAAATATCCGCTATAGAAAAAATATGGCAGATCTTTACACGAGATTTAAATTATCATTTATTTCACATTTCGGATTATCCTTAATTTATTTATGGTCTAAAAGATTTTAATTAAATTAAATTGCTCTTTTTTAATTTAAGCATTTTGCATGTGTTGTTTGCTAAAAATATGCGCATTTATAAATAAAAATAAAAAACGACGAATTTTCTTTTAAATGATTTAATGTTATTTAACAAACTATTTTTTAATTAAGTAATTTTGAAATATTGATGTTAATTAATATTAATAATTTTAAAATTATTTCATTCAATAAATATTTCTTTTTATTTAAGACGAGATAAACTCATTTCAAATGCAAAATCAGTTAAAAGTATTTTTTATTATTTTTAATTGAAATGTAATATAAAATGGTTATTATGTCATAGGCAAACATTCACAAAAACCTTCCAAAGAAATAGATAAATCTAAGTTAAAGATATGGATAATATTATTTCTCAAAAATAAAATGCATAAATGTGAAGACTCTAGATTTAACCTTTTGCAGTATTTAAGATTTATAGCATCATGTTTTTGCATTAAAATGTGCAGTATAAATGAGTAAAAAAATTCTTAAAGCTCTGTGTAGTTGGGCTTTCTATTTAATTAAAGAACTTCCTTCAGACTTCATTTTTTGCTTTGTTATCGTAATTCGCGCAAGCTATTAAGTCAGAAGGCAAAAATATATTACATTTCAGCAGAAAACCTTTATTTGATTTTGAAATGCAACGAACTTCTGACCATACAGACCATCCAAAAATTTTCTATCTGCTTGATATTTTAGAATTTTTTTGTTATGGTCATAGAGTTTTCCTAGTCTTAATATTCACTGAAGACCTGAGACTGAAGTGGAAATGGCCTTATTCAAATCTAATGTTTCAGGTGATATGTTTTTTCTTTTATTAGTCTGGCTGTTGCAACGTCTCTATAAATGCAGGAATCCCTCATACGGCTTATTTTCATAATAATGGCTATTTTTATGTGTGCTGCACGTATACCTAATTTAAGTCTACTATCCATCTAAATGTTTAAATATAGCATCCTCGTAAAAAGTGCGGATAGAATATGTTAGAAAATATGTTTTCAAAAATTTTTCGTAAGAAATGTATGCAAGCAAAGACAGCTCTACTACTTAGTTAATGCTATTCTACAGCTTAATTACTATTGGAAAAGTTAATGGCTGCCTCAGGAATTTACCACGAACGTTTATTTTGTATTGTTGCGTGCGTACGGGTTTGTGGTAGATTGAACGCACACAGTTCCGATGATAGGTTGATAAAATTTATTTCATCAAAAGGCACACTTAAGAGTTTTGGAAAATTCGACAGAAATACTCGTACAGGGGTTTACGGTATTACAGAGTACAACCAGTAATGATACTTCAAACTGCTAAAAACATTAGCAAAGCGCGTCTAAAAGGCGAAGCTTCCGATACTACGAAGTCTCTCACAACAAAAACTGAGGGCAGATACTCTCTCCGGCCTTATATAAGTTTTTATCTGACCGCCTAGATATTTCTAGTACTTTCTGATTCTCGAAATTACTGGAAGGCGTATGAGGGCTGGATACAGTTACAGTTACATATGAAATCAATTATAGTTATTCAAATGCAATACCTATTATGGTAAAACAGGAATCGAACCAAATTGCCGCCAAATTTGGCGACATTTATCTATTTATTGCCAAATTTGGCGACAAAAGTTAGTTGCCGAAACTTTTACCAGTTTGGTGATATCTCGCCAAATTAGTGAGATAGCCATTTACTCAATGTTCAAAGACTTGTCCTTATATTCCTATTTTCCCGGCAGAGCATTCTCCTTCGAGATTTTCATGTTATATTATGTAGAAAAAAAATATAACGATCTGATATATAATTTCACTAAAATTATCCTTATATTACAAAATTCGTCACAGTATAAAACGTAGAATCGATCATTATGATTAATAGGTATTCCGAGCGCCAGAAAATGTGGCAATCTTATAGTGAAGTTAGCGTCTAGGTTCTGTTCACTATTCTGTAGATAAAATACACTGCTCGACATTGAAAATGCAACACCAAGAAGGAGTGGTCAGAAATTTATGCAAATTTTAGAGTAGACACGCGTCACTGAGCTATGCGAATGATGTGAAATGCGCAGCTCTCCGTCGCACGTGAAGTAAGATATAAGGGAAGGAACATGCAGAATGGGCAATATTCGTGTCGTTATTTCTGTCAGACGAATTATCGAAGAAAGTTGGTTTTTGTCCCGGAGGATACGTGTAATAGTTGATAGTTGACGGGGGACGTGTGCACCATCCCTTTACCGTAATGGTTAAGATACGTGTAATAGGAGAGAATGCCAGGACGCCGTCAACGAAGGCCCTTCCAGCAGATAGACGATTTTACGAGGGGTATGGTGATCGGACTGAGAAGGGCGGGTTGGTCCTTACGTCGAATCGCAGCTGATACCCAGATGGATGCGAGCACAGTGCATCGGCTATGGCGAACATGGTTGGAACAAGGAAATGTGAGAAGAAGGAGGGGTGCAGGTGCATCCAGCGTGACGTCAGCACGCGTGGATCGACGCATCCGCCGACAAGCTGTGGTGGTCCCGTATGTCACTTGTACCGCGATTCTCCAGCATGTGCAAGATACCCTGGATGTTTCCGTGTCGACCAGAACTATTTCCCGTCGATTGGTTGAACGTGGCCTGCACTCAAGGCGTTCGTTAAGAAGACTGCCATTGACCCCACAGCATAGACGCCAATGTCTAGAATGGTGCCGGACTGGAGCGATGTGGATGACAGAATGGCAAAACGTCGTGTTCTCAGATGAGTCACGCTTCTGTTTATCCAAGTGACAGTCGCCGCATACGTGTGTGGCATCGACGTGGAGACAGATCAAATCCGGCAGTAACTGTGGAATGCCCCACCGCGCGACAACGTGTCATAATGGTTTGGGGGGCTATTGCCTACGATTCCAGGTCACCTCTCGTTCGTATTCAGGGTACTATGACGGCCCAACGATACTTGGATAATGTACTGCGGCCAGTGGCAATCCCTTACCTTCAGGGGCTTCCTAATGTAATTTTTCAGCAGGATAACGCCCGACCACACAGTGCTCGCATCTGCCAACATGCTCTGCAAGGTATACAGGTGCTTCCCTGGCCACCGTACTCTTCTGACCTGTCACCAATCGAACATGTGTGGGATGTGATTGGACGCCATTTGCAGACTCTGCCCCTGCCTCGTTCAGAAGACGAACTGTGGCAAATGGTTGAAAGGGAATGGTGAGCCATCCCTCAGGACTCCATCCGCACTCTTATTGACTCTATGTCTAGACGTGTTTCTTCGTGCGTCGCTGTCCGCGGTTGTCCCACGTCCTACTGAACCGACGCCGTTCTCGCTCTGTATTCTGACTATCATTTTGAAATAAAGATCACTTATTGATGCTTGCTATCTCTGTCTTTTTTCCAAATTTCATCAGTTTCTGACCACTCTTT